ACGACTTCACCTCTACCTTCTTCATCGTTGCAGCTTCCTCTGAATGTTTTCAATAATTACTTCAGCCTTGGATTTGATGCCCACGTCACACTGGAGTTCCATGAATCCCGAGGTGAGGACAGCGTTCCATTTCCATCTCCCAGGGAGGAAGTTCCCAGCAGGTGTTTTGCATGTTCCCTTTTGTCTGCATATCGCTTACGTGTCGACAGTGTGCGTCCGTGTTGTGTTTTTTTGTTTGTTTGTTTTGACCTCCCTGATGACCCTGGGAGCTAGACAAGGTAGGAACATAATACAAATAGGACCCTGAGACCATGTTGGTTGGGGTTTCAAAGATGGTCAGAGACAAGACCAGAGGTGTGCCTGGGATTGCTACTCTAAGTTGACTAGAAACTTTGTTAGTGAACTACTGAGAAATAATAAAGTTTCTTTCACTAAAGTCATTGGGATACTCACAGCTTCTCAAGCTACCAGTTGTAGTGGTGCAACATTTAATAACCCAGAGCCATTGAAACCTGGTAGCACCACAAAGAAGCCCTGCCTGTGGGCACAAAAGAGACATTAGGCATTTTAGGACACTAGGGGCCTGTGGGTGGCTTGGGTTGAAAGAAAAGGGTGTGATGGTGATTGGATTAGGTTGGATGAGATAGGGGAGTGAATAAGGCAGAGTGGTCATTTAAGTACCAACAGAGATGGAGTCAAGGGTTGGGAGAGCAAAACGATTTTTGAAAGAGAAATAATGATGTGGTTAAACATTTCATCAGAACTTCCTTATGTCTTTAGAACTGAGAAAGTTGAGGATTTCTGCTTATGCTTTGAAGCTTTAATCTCTCTCAGTTTCTATTAATCTCTCTTTTTCTCTCTGAAGCTCTCTTATTAGTATAACTATAGTACACATCTCTGTCTATGCCTGTATCCATAACTATAACTGTTCCTAGTCCCTTGTCAATACGTTAATATATAACCAAAATACTGCTGAGCTGTAGGGGAGTAAGATAAAAGTCACAAATGAGGGATTATTTTTACCTTTTTTCCTCCATCCAGATTCTGCAAGAGCATATGTGGGTTTTAACTCATAGAATTTGAAAAACAGAGAACTAAAAGCTAGAATTTAAATGTTCCTGTTCCAGTAATAA